TTTTGTGCTTCCTTAATATTAATCGTCATCTTCTTCCTCCTCATCGCTGATCACATATTTCTTATGCTTCTTACTTGCTTTGTCATCATCCTCTGCTTTTCGCTTTCCAGAAGGTTCACCTTCCTAAAGGCAAAAAAGGACAAAAATAAACCAACACACTTCAGGCTAAAATAAAAAACTCAGAAGAACAACAAAAAGACCTCAAAGTCTTTCTCGTAAGAAAAAGAAAATTATTAGTTCTGGTTTTTCCATTTTGTGCTTCTGTGATGCAGGACTGCTTATGTATCAGTACTTTAAGTTCAGTCAACATGGCTACCAGTTGATTCAAACCCCAGCCTGAGAGGGTCCGTAACACAGCTGCAGCTCCATTTACCTCAACGGACAAGCAACCATATCTGCTTCAAACTGATCTATGGCATGGAAGTAATTTATGTCGTAATCTGGATTTATGGCATGTGCAATATCATTCTCAGCAAGTCTTACGAGCATGGGTGATTCCTAGAATTTGTAGTGAATTTTTCAACATGCACAGCTTTCCCTTCAGGCAGCCTGTGTAGCTTTGTTAAGTTTTCAGTCTATTGACACTTGTACTCCCTAAATTAGAGCTACTGAAGCAAAGAAGAAATTCAGTAAGTGGGTAGGCGTTTTGTTTGTTTGTTCATTTAAAAAAAAACCAACCTAAACCACTCTCTGGCATAAAGGAAAAAGACTGATGAGAAACCACTAGTACTGAGAGTCAACATCACAGTTTACAGTCCAAGAAATATAATAGTTTAGGAGGCTTCAAAGCTAGTCAAAGGAACTCAAATCATTGAGTTAATTATTGTAGGTAATACCGTAATGACTTTTATAGGCTGGATGCCCAATTTTTAGCACCTAAATAGAGAGTCAATAGGTTGATTTTTATTCCGTGTGCATTTACACCAGTTCAGTTTAAATCATCCTTCCAAACATTTTAGATCAGAATGCTATGCAAACGTTTAATCAAACTACAATCACTAGTTGTTAATGCAAAACTCATCAATTTTGACATGAAGAACAAGTGGTAACTCAATTATTGTTTAAAAAGAAGAGTGTCTTTAAAAATACTCTCAGGTCTAAGTAGCCTTATCCCTTTTTCCATTTGTTGGTTTTGGTTTGTGATTTTTTTGTTTTTTTCTGGTTTTTTTTGTTTTTGTTTTTGTTTTTTTAAGCAATACATATTACTTGGATTTTAAGAAACAGCAAAGATTAGAGTTCTGAAACTCTAATAATTCATTAAAGTTCTGAAACTCAATGAACAATTTTTTATTCAAAGCATTTTATTCTGTATTAACATATTAACTTAGTACAGTGAGAGTCTCAGTTAGGAAAGAATTTTAAGCATGGAAAACAAATTAGCAGGGGTGGGAATCTCAATGACAGCTTCTTCCTCAGAACAAGCATTCTCTTGTAATCTAGCTAGGCTATTGTTAAATGATTCATCTCCCTGTTTAGCAGAATATCCCCACTAATTACAGTAAAAGTAAAAATACTAGCCGCGTGGTGATAAAGTGTATTAATAATAGATTGACGTTTTCAGTAATAGTAACAAATTGTTATCAGGACAAAGATTTGTGCTGTGTTGTTGATTGACAGCACATAAAAGCAAGTCTGTGTACAAGGAAGTCCATGTTTCACGTATGCGGATACATATTACAAATATGATACTTCCTACGTGGTGACTGAAAGTAAGTAGTTATGTATCAGTATTTTCATAATACTGTAGCACCCCTCTGTGGCCCTGATGGGAATATTACCTTTAAGTCATGTAATTTTAAAATGGAGGCTATTATTCCTCAAGCAGCAGAGAAATGCTGTTGACTAGACCTTTTCTTCTGAGAGACTGGAATTGTGAAGTCCTGACATTGCTATATCATAAACCAACAACTAGTAGCGTCTTATAAATAAACAATTCAATTTCTATTAACAAACACTAGCAGAGCTCACAAAATTACAGTTTTGTCTACATGCCTCACTATTGCCGTCTCCAGGATTACTGTCATATTTTCTGAAATATTAAATTTTCCTCAATATATAATAAAAAGCCAGAATCTATGTCTTTAAAAGAAAAACTAATTTTTACTTCTGCTTCATATTACAATGCCTATTAGTGCAAATACTCCGCTGACAGTTTAAGAGGAGTAGTGTCACAGCAGCAAGAACACGCCTTCAGAATGTAGCAAACATCCAACAGGCTGGGAAATAAGTCATGCCTCCTGAGACGTTTACAGGAAGCACAGTATAGAAATGCAAATCAGAGCAAACTTACTCCTTCAAAAATTAAGATTTCTTACATTATAGAGGTATGTGTCATACTGAAAACTATATTGGTCATTTATGGAATTTCAGCAGCTGTGATTACAGACGTCTGACACGCATTCATTCACTAGAAGGACACATAGCAAGTTACATAGCTACAAAATTACTCTTTTAAGAAGAAATGGGTGTTTTATTACGGAAGGCTCTAAAATTCAAGAATAAGGTTCTAGCCACTTCAGCAGCTATTAGAGTAGCACACTAGATATGACTGCAGGAAACCAACTGAAAGAAACCTTATGGCAATAGCTAAAATAATTCAAACATTTAAAAATAATCTCTTAAAGGAAATGGTGATATAAAGCATTAAAAAATATTCCATAAGCTTATACCGACCAACTCAAACTTCCTTTTTTAAACTTCTGCATGATATTCTATGCATAAACATTTAAATAAAATATAATTTACAGTAAATCAGGACAGGAAGATTAATCAAACTAGCATGCCAGTGTAAAAACATCTTTCATAACTTACAAGGTAGTAATAAGAACCTATTAAGCTGAGTTAGTTTGTATTTATTATTCTGCCACATAGGTGAAGGTGACTATCAGCAGAGCTCAGGTGTGTCCAAACTACCATTCCTAAGCCATGCTTGGCTTGGGAGAAATGCAAGCACAGCTGCAACTCGGGGCTGCACTATGTTATCAACAGCAAGATTACAGCAGTTCAGAACTGGCGAACTGGCGATGTCTAAAAGAAAGCAAACTAATGGGCTACTAAAACCAAGTAGGGCAAACGCCTGACCCAACCCAATTCCCTCTGAACAGGGCAGTGGGAAGCCAGGGAGGCAGCGTCAATTGCCCTTTGTCATGAACTCCAAGATTCCCTCTTCTTTCAGCTTCCCAAGGTACACAGTAAATACGTCCTAAGGCTCTTTGCCACAGAAGTATTTTACAATGAGGAGCAAGGGTCAGGAAAATAGACTACACTGGTATAGCTGATACAGGACTGGTTCCACTTCTAGCACTGGATGAAAATAGTTAAGTTTGAATCTCAGAAATGGTATCTGTCAATTTTGAAAAGTGTTTCAAGTGTGACATTACTTGAAACGAACTAAATCTCAAGACGTGATATACACAAAGATTCACTTGCTTATATCCAGCAGTGATAAATTACAAACCAGTAAAACACAATTTTAGAAGAGGAAACAGCTAACAATTAACTTGATCATGTTTAGCATGATACTTGCGTGATGGATAACGTCTATTTAGCAATGGACATTAACTCTTTTTAACTCGGTTTTTTAACTCTTCTATTTAAAAAGAGCAGAAATAGTATGTGCAAATGCTTCCGCTAGTTCCATAATAAGCAAGAGAGGACCATGTAGCTTAGGAGACAACACTGCACCAGGATTCCAATACTAAGTCTTCTTACTTCTTGCATAATTTTGGTAAAATCATTTTACATAACTCTGCATAAATTTTTCCATCTTTAAATCAGCAGTAACAATAGTGACCTCCTTTGGGAATCACTCAGGTCTATGAACTAATGCAGTGTATAAGAAAGTGGTGATTAATTACCATGGAAAGCATGCCAAGTCAAAGAATACATTCATCACAGCATAAATGAAACTACAAAAGTCACAGCTTTAAAAACTAGATTTAGTGCAGGAAATGTTCCTGACTGAAAATGAGTAGCTTAAGAACAAAATCCTTTTCTTACCTCATCACTAGTAAGTTTCTTTGCCTTGAGTAGTCTTTGTGTTTTATCTTCATCTGAGCCCTCGTCACTGTCAGAAGAGTAGATTCTAGCACGTTCCTCTACAGAGAAAAATGAAAAGACAAATATTTATCTTTATCTGAAATCTGTGAGGAAGAGAGAATATTAAAAATAATTCTCTTACATTTAGTCCCACAAAAAGCTGGCAGAATTTAATCCCAGAGTAAACAAAATAAACTTATATGAACTGAATTCATGTCTCCTCATGTATCAAATGAGCTGGCAAAATACAATCTTACCAGGAGTCTCCTGTGAAATTAATCGATCTAAATCACACAGGCTCTACTTACACGCTGGTAAAGTTTATTATTACCTCTGATACCACCTTTGTATCTGTTTTTGATAGCTGCTAGACTGATGGCATCATCTCCCTCATCCTCTTCATCATAGCGATCAGGTTCTAAATAATTTGCACTCAGACCGCGCTGATGCTGTTTCTCCCGCATTCTTCGCTGCTGAGATTCTCTACGAATGGAAGCTCTCAATCGCTCCTCTTCTTTCTGTCCAAAGAAAGAAGCAATATATAAAGATTGAGGAAAAAAAAATACTGAGGAGCACCTTGTATTCTACTATAGCTTGAAATAATTTCACAGCAATGTAAAGATTGTACATATCCTGATTTTTTTTGTAATCTGTAAGGTTAAGCAAACTGCACCCATGGCTAACAACTCTTGTCTGTAACTCCAAAATACACTCTGTTTTTCATAAAGTCGTAAGATTCAGAAATGTTCAGCTATATTACAGTTGTGGTTTTTTACATTAAATCAGCAGATAAGAGAGTTCCATGCCACAATACCTTAATCATTTCTGTGCGCTGAGACTCTGGATCACGACCTGCCATTGGCAAAATACGAATTTTCTGGGTCTTTGAACATCTATCTGCCAGAGACAGAGTCATCTTCCTGTGAGTGGCACTGTCCGTAGAGTGTGGCCTGTTAAAAAATTGCTATGGGTTAAATACTTCTTAAAGGAATATATCAATTTTTAAAGTACAACGGTAAAGCCAGCGTACTTAAGATTTCAAAGATTCATCTGCACAAAGGTAAAAGCATCATCCTTTTTTTTTATTTATGTGCATTGTCACAGCTACTGGAGCCATCAATTCCTCTCTCAGCAAACCATCTGCAGTCCATTACCAGCCTAAATAATCATCCTCACATCAATATCCCAAATCCCAAGACATATCATCTTGATAGCAATTGTGCATCAGAAGAAAGGTTAATTTCAGGCAATATTAATATTCTTTCTGATTCAGATGAGGACTTGCACTTAAAAATGCAAATTAAAATATATATAAAAAAATACATGTAGCCTACATATTGCAGTGCATAGCATAGTCCCTTTCAAACTGGGACACCTAATTTAGGAAAAATCTTATCAAAATACTGACTTTGGAAAAGAGCACACTCTTATTGAATGGTTAAGCTCTGAAGGTTTATGAACACGTATCTCTAATTTTTATATACTAGTTACAATGCTTAGTGGCAAAAGTAGTATCAACATTTGATATAGAATAGCATGTTTACCTGAAGGTTAACTTTGTCTTGAAAACAGCCTGTCCTTGTAGACCTGTCCCTTGTCTGATAAACAAATGGTTGTGATCTCCCTGTAGTGGCGCCTTGTACACATCAAAGACCTCATTGCCCAAATGGAGAGACATGCTTAAAAGAGATTCATATATCAGTTACCTGATAAAGCCACTACAGTCCATTTTTTGCCTCATTTATAGATGTCTCCTTTTTATATACAGCAAATAATAATATTTCAATCCAAACTAAGCAGAGCATAAAATTTTCAAACCACTGAGACTAAAATAGTTTCTGCTGTGCAGAACTGACACCAAAGTTTGTTGACCTTCCAATTCTGCACGCCATGGCATTTCACTGTAAGAACAACTGTATTCCTTCGACAGCAAAAAGTCCAAACTAACCTTCCATCTGACCATTTGACTATTCGTGCATTACTTTCTCTGATCTCATTCCCTTCCTCATCTCGTCGCATCCGCCATCGTATTGTGTTTTCTACCTGTGGTGAAAAAAACCCAAAACACTTTTTCTAACTCATAGTAAGGAATACTGTGGCAAAATATACTCTATATAGGTCAGGAACTACAGTTAGAAAGGTTAGATAATTTACTGCATGATGCAAAGAAATGAAGGTGAAAGGTATCACTTTTATAGGTGAAATGCAGCTGTCAAGCATTTTTTAAATTTATTACTAAAATGGATCAACTTTTCACACTGCTGAACGGCTCCATACTTTCATAATCTGAACCATAACTCAAAACACCATTCTGAAATACCTGAAACAGACTTTGAAGAAATGTGGCTAGATGAGGGTAAAAGAGAAGGGAAAATTAACATTATACCTTGAGTTTTAACCTAGTTCTACCCTCTTCATCAAGCATCTCCTCATCTTCAAATTCATCTTCATAATACTGGGGATCAAAAGGCCTGCAATAAATTATAATACAGTCTTTATTCTTCTAAAAATTAATCCAGATTATTCTAGAGTTGTGCAAAATAACAGGTGCTTGAAAGGTTTAAATTATACACTGCACACAACAGTAGGCACTGCAGCTGTGAGACAGCCATTTCTGCAGTAATGTCATTTACTGCATTGATTCCACACCACGGGAGGCCTACCCAAGTGTCTTCGCTACTATCAATTACAGCCACTTTAACATTCAGACCCTCTAAATGGCTCTAGCTAAAGAAAGCAAGTCTGCCTCAGAAAATACTGTTTCCTTAGTATCAGGATGATGAGGTCAGGGTTAAGTCTGGAACAAAATATATACAATATTATACAGAGAAAATAAAAATTATCATCTTATAAATGTGGTGAATTAAGGATTTTCTAAGAGCACAATCTTTGTCATTTTTTTATTTCAATCTCAAAACCAAACAAAGGGAAAGGAAGATGAGATTGTTTTTCCTCTCTTCCTTCAAGAAAGCTGGGTGGGAGTGAGCAGGGGAAGGCCATTCCCTAGCCTCCTTCCTAACAGCTCCAGGCTGCTGCAACGGAAAGAAGTGATAAACCGACTCTGCTACTGTACAGTTCTACTTTCAGTCCTGTCTGACCCCAAAGATCCTGAGGGCTTCTCTCACTGATTACAGCCACTAACCGGATTTTTAACAGTTCTTTCCTGAAACAGTCTATAACATGAAAGCCAGGAAGAATGATTTAACTAATGTATAACAGAAACAATGCTATACCGCCAGCTAACAAGACACCTATTAAACAATGCAATAAAGTTGCTTAACAGAACACTTGAAGAGACTGATTTAACAGCAATTTACTAGAACTAAAACATCTCTAATAATTTCTTTTGTTTCTCCTTACGAATTCCAGAAAATTTCTTTAGCTTGGGTTAGGTAAATATGAAAGTGAGTAATCAGACTCTTCATAGTTAAATAGTACATTTAGCACATACAAATAAAGAAGGGTTTATTCTAAAATTCAAAATGATGTTTTTATCACTCCGAAGTGCATAAAGATCCTGTGCATTTGGCTTTCACACCTCTGAGAGCCTGAACCTATGTTTAAAATTCAACTGATAGCATGTGCTTTCAATTAAATCATATTTTTATTTTTAAAGACACGACGTTATTCCATCAAGCTGAAATGCAAGCTCGTAAGAAAATTACTCAGCACTTGATTAGATAACAACAATAGATATTACTATTGACTGATCACAACCACAGGTGTGCAACTTAATGTCAACCATTTTAAATATGACCAACATATTTAATTGTGTTACTAAAACAAAAGCAATATAGGGAAACACTAAAAAACACTATCAATCATGTATTTAGTGTGCAATTACCTGGGCTCCACGCTAAGGAAGTTGGGCAGCTTCACAAAATACAAATCATTACCCAAGTCTGTGTTTACTTTTGGTATTTCTACCTCTATTCTAGTCTCTGGAATAGGCTCTTCTTCCTGCTGTTCTTGACTCAGTCCATTCTCATCCTAATGAAAAAAAGGTGAATAGGAGCATAAGTGAAAGAAGTCTATCTGGCTACTGTTGCTCTAATAAGCACTTACATTTTGCGTGAAGAAAAGTCATCCATATGCACAGAGAGAGATCAGGAAGCTTTGGGTAAAAGAGCTTGCACATTTTTAGTGAAAGCAATCCAATCCAGCATTTTCATATGCCACTAAAAGTGATTTCAAATACCAGTGCAAACTCAAGAGACCAAAGACAGTAAGGAGACAGCAAAGAAGCTGACACACAGTTTTCAGCTAAGCACTGGAGAACAACTGTTCTAAATGGGGAACAACTTTTCCCAGATAAAAAAATATTTTTATGTATTATCTTCAAGACCCAAAATGAAAATATTTGTCGAACAGCTGTACTAAGACACCAAAGACAACTATGACTTTGTATTTTACTTGATGACAATCAAAACTACTCGGTATATTTCTTTCCAGTACAAAAAGTAGAGCAGGGATGGGGGAAGGCAGATAAATGAATCCATCTGATATTGCTATGTGTAAAACTTTAATAATTCTTTTAGCTAACTTTAATAATTCTTTTAGCTAGGGCAAAATTATCTGTAATGCTTACTTAATGCCTTTAGTCTTCTTTTCACTAAAATATTATCAAACTCAATCAGTGTTCTGCATTTCAGAGCGGAACAGCATGTTAATTAAATAATAATTTAAAAAAAAAAAAAAAAGTCAAGCCTACTCACAATGGGCTGTCCTGGAGTTGGTGGCTTGTCTTCTCCATCGCTCCCTGAGGAAATGTCATCTGCACCTCCGAACAGATCCATGACATCTGCATGCTCTTCAGCAGAAAAATTACTATTTTAAAATACACATATAAGCGCACACAACCCCCTACATGCAAGCACACTCACAGAAAAAAAGATTAACACATCCTTCGCTTTTATTACCATTTAAAATTACCTACAAAGGTCAAAAATTGTGAATGTTTATGAAGTACACATTATTCTCTTATCCTGAAAAACAGTTTTCCTTTGTATTTTTAAGCTAAGGATTCAAGATATGTTTTCCTGGAAAGGCTTTATCAAATAAGAGAATCTAGCTGAAAAACGGCAACAGAAGAATCAAGAGCATAAGATCATCCTTTACTCAAGTAAACAACTTAAATATATGTAAACAGCAACTTCATTATGCATTTTGGAGGTTTTATTTCTCAGAAGAATCAACACCTCTTTCTCAGCCAACTAAACATCAGAAAAACCAGTACAGCTTCTCTGGGCTGCTCTGATTAGAGGTATCACTTCTTTCAGTAAAAATGTGTGAAATAACATTTGCAAAAGAAAAGCTCTGTCTCTCATGGAGGAAACTGAAAAACTGACAGAGCTAACTAGAGATAATCAGCAGAAATACAGCGTGTACGTGTACTTCCCCACACAGAATTCTTGCTGTGCTGTTTTATTATTTCCACAGCACTATAGTTACACCGTATAGCAAGCGCTATCAATTTTATCAAGTTCTGCAGCAGATGAATGGTGTGCTTAACATGAGGATAAAATGAACCAAAACCCCACAAAACAACGCCACCATTACCTTTCTGTCCTTCTGTATCACTGTCCACTTCTGAATCTGATGCAATTGGTTTCTTTCGCTTCATTCGCAGAACTTCATCTTCGCTATCGCTGCCCCTTGCAGACTCTACTAAGGAGCATAATTATTCTCAGCAAATTAAAAATTTTGTTCCACGTATTTTAAAATTCTTTTGTATTAATAAGTTGAGTCAGACAAAAAGGAATTCAAAAGTGCTGCATAAAAAAACATTACAAAGATGATTATAGTTGAAAGCTATGTGATTAACGCCTTTACATTGAAGTCTGAATCTTTTCAGGCCAATATAAGCGAAACAATAAAGAGAGATCAAACCAGAAGCAAATCATTACCACTGTATTCAGTCCTACCAGATTTATGCTCTTGGTCCTCCTCATCAGAGTGCTGGGCCCTTTCGTCATCATCAGAGTTCTGCATCTTCTCCTCGTCAGAATGCTGGGCCCTTTCATCATCATCCGAGTTCTGCATCTTCTCTTCATCTGAGACCTGTGGCCTCTCCTCATCATCGGAGTTCTGCATTTTCTCCTCGTCTGAGTTCTGGAGTCTTTCCTCATCATCAGACATCTGCGGCCTTTCATCTTCATCTGAGTTCTGCACCTTCTCCTCATCGTCAGAGTTCTGCTGTCTCTCCTCATCGTCAGAGTTCTGCTGTCTCTCCTCATCGTCTGACTGATCACTTTTGTCCTCCTTGCCCCACTTCTCATCCTCTGAATGTGCTTTTTCAGAACCATCTCCCTCTGAATGATGACTGCCTTCATCTGACCCATGCCCGCGATCATCCTCCTCATCATCATGAGCAGCTTCTGAAACACTGTGCTGGTCCACGTCTGACTGATCATTATCTTCATGCTCAGAATGTCCCGAAGCTTCAGATCGGTTATAGGATCGTTCAGAGTGGTTGTCGCTCCCTGTGTGATGGGATGCCCCTTCATCCTCACTATCGTCTCCAAATAATTCCTTATTACTAGGTTTTATTGCCTCCCTGTCATCATCCTGGTCACTGTCGCTTCCAGAAGCATTACTACCAGAGCCAGCATTCTCCTGGTCGGAATCAGATTCAGATCCAGAATCGGAATCTGCAAAACAAAAATGACCCTTTCAAGAGTTAAACTGTCCCTACAAAGATGCACATAAGATGATAGGCATTGCTTTAAAAAAAAAAAAAACCAACAAAACCCCCCAAAACCCAGAGAGAGAACTTAGAGAGAACTCTAAGAACGAACTATAAAAGTTACTTAGAACAATAAAATAAAATGTCTACTAATAAAGGCACAGCCAATGAAAGACACAATGAAGAATGACGGATGCCACATAAAGTTTCAAACCACAAGCTATTGTCTAAGACTCTGAAGTCACAGAAAGAATAAGCAATTACACAAAAGTAACGAAAATAAGATTTGAAATAATGAGGGCTTAAAAGAAGTAAATACATACATATGGCTTACGAGATCCTACAAATCTAAATCTGTCAGCATTTCTTTAATCCAAGTTAGCTGTCTTATGTACCCTGACATGTTTGTTACAATGGAGCTACTCCTGAATGCTGAGGTTGTTGAACGCAGTTTCAAGCAGCAAAAAAAAAAGAGCATCTGCCTTGAAAAATAATTTACAGAAATTGAGACAAGCACTTTAAAAATATACAAATGACTTAAATCAGGAGGCATTCCATCATTTTTCTTTAGATGCTGGTGACAGCTAAAACTTTTCCAGACAACAAGGGGCAAACGGAACACGCCTTGTTTTCACCATCTCGAATCCAAGCAGCTCTAAGCAAGCCTACGATCACACGTTATCAAATTCAGAAGCACGCTTTGCTTTTCTTTCCGACCATGAGTTTTCCACGCCTGCGGTGACGGGAAACAGTCACCTCAAGCTGCTGTTCCACGCAGCCCCAGCCGAGACCAGGGTCCTTCTTTCAGAGCACTAACGGGGAACGCACGCAGCACTGAGGGGGCCGGAACACCCCCGCTGCGGTGAGGCGTTCCGAAGGGGAGCACAGCTACCCGGCCGCGGCTTCCTTTGCTTCTCGGC